TCTTATTATGAGGGTGTTTTGAGAAATTCAGCCAATGCTTTAGCAGAAAAACACCCAGGAAAGCTTCACCAGAGAGTCCTTCTCCACCAGGACAATGCTCCTGTTCATTCCTTTCACAAAGATAATTTGTGACAGTTTTGATGAGAAATCATTAGGCATCTACCTCACAACAGTCCTGATTTGGTTCCTTCTGACTTTTTTGTTTTCTAATCTTTAAAAAAATCTTTAGTAGCAATGAAAAATTAAAAACTTAAACAAAAAAAACTTTAAAGGGCATCCATTTTTCTTCATTTCTTCATTTTTCTTCATTTAATAATGTAAAAAAGCCAGGCAGTGGCTCACACCTATAATCCCAGCACAAAAGAAGAACAAATAAATATTTACTCCAAAAAATTTGGATTCCTTAATGGAAAAGGGGAAAGTCTATCTCTGTCTTAATCCATAATGGATGGTGGAGACATTTGTTCTCTGACTGACTAACATAAACAAAGAAAACTTAGTAAGAAGAAAGGAATAATAAGACGTACATACTGTAGCAACTAGTCATGGTTGAGATGCTCTTCCCATCCTAATATTAACTTACCCTCATCAGTCATAGGTGAAAGAAGCTAGCTGCTTTTCATTTTCTAATTTCCTTTAACTGTGCATTGTTTCCACCATCTGGGACTGAGACTAGGTGGATAAGGACAGTGAGGTGGTAGCAGTAGATTTTCTTGTGCTTCATCTTGAGTGACTTGATCCATGTAACATTAACTTGGCCCAAGAGGAGGAAAGTTTTTAAGACATTATTTTATTTATAAAAAATTAAATCCTCCCTGCTATTTTTGACATGTAAATAACTTAAAATTTCAGGCCAGGCATGGTGGCTCATGCCTGTAATCCCAGCACTTTGGGAGGCCAAGGTGAGTGGATCACCTGAGGTCAGGAGTTTGAGACCAGCTAGGCCAACATGGCAAAACCCCATCTCTACTAAAAATACAAAAATTAGCCAGGCATGGTGGTGCATGCCTGTAATCCCAGCTACCGGGGGGGCTGAGGCAGGAGGATCACTTGAACCTGGGAGGCGGAGGATGCAGTGAGCAGAGATCGTGCCACTGCACTCCAGCCTGGGCAACAGAGTGAGACTCCATCTCAAAAAAAAAAAAAAAAAAAAACACAGTTCATTAACTCAGAAGACTACTCCAGAAACTGGCAGGTGGTTACTCCAGGAAGGAGAACTGCCTAGCTAGGGTGTAGGGATTGGGATAATTTGTTTTACTGTATATCCCTTTGAACCAATTGGATTTTGTACATATGCATTTGTTAGCCTGTTCAAAAAAAATATCAGTTTCTGGAAAATTGAATTAAAGGATAAAAGCATGAACTTTATTTCTCAACATAAGCTTTTTCAACGTCAAGACACTTTTGCAAAAAATTATAGCAACTTTTTTTTTTGAGACAGAGTCTTGCTCTGTCACCCAGGCTGGAATGCAGTGGCACGTTCTCCACTCACTGCCACCTCCACCTCCCAGGTTCAAGTGATTCTCGTACCTCAGCCTCCCAAGTACCTGGGATTACAGGTGTACACCATTACTCCTGGCTAATTTTTGTATTTTTAGTAGAGGCCGAGTTTCCCCATGTTGGCCAGGCTGGTCTCAAACTCCTGACCTCAGGTGAGGCGCCTGCCTTGGTCTCCCAAAGTGCTGGGATTACAGGCGTGAGCCACTGCGCCTGGCCTGAAGTAAATATTTATATGGATATAATTAGATCTTAAACTCTCAGTACTTCTTTAAATGAGCTGTGGTCTGCCCCCTCCCCAAGACACAAATTAAACATATATTAAGGAAGCAGGTTTTCTTCTTCCACTTATGCTGTAGAAAGTCAAAAGAGATGTCACTCCCACCCTAACAACCAGAAACAGCAAGATCAACTACAAAAAACTTGAATTCATTGGAAAGCTACCTAGTAGTATGAAATCCAAAGAAAGACAAGCCCCTCCAGGAAATATGGGAGGTGAACACCAGCTCTCCTGTGTCACTGCATGTGCAGAAGAGACACTGGGTACCCTACAAGCAGGTAAGAAAAATTCAAGTAAAAATTGTAGTGATTTGTTAAAGGTAAGTGAAGGCTAGCATAAGACTATGGGGTCCCTCAAATCCACAGACACAAAGGGAATTCACAATCATTTGCAAGATTGTCTTTGCAGATGTCTGCTGCATGCTCACAGGAAAGATTGGAAGCAGGGTGAGGGACCAGATAGTCTCCCTCCATGCTACAGACCTGGAGAAGGCCACCACCATTAAGGGAAAAGCATGAACTCCTCCTCCTGGGATCTTTCTCTCCTGGGAAGAAGTACCAAACTCTGTCAGCCCCAGAACACACCGGCTGTAGCTAGGGAAAGAGTAACAGAAACATACTTTATAAACCTGAGAGAGGAGCAAGAAAAACTCCTCATCCAGGATCCTACACCAATACCATTAGAAGACTCTACTACTGTGAGAAGGATAATACAATTGAGAAAGACCCAACCCATGAGATATAAGCACATGATTAAGCACAAAATGGGACAATAAAAAAACAAACTCTGCCCACCACCTGGCTAGAACTCTTCTGATAAAAGAGGGAAAAGACAATGGACAAGGACCCCTCTGAGGCCTGGGTACACAGGGAAGGCTGAAAGAGTGGAGCAAGCACATTAAAGAAATACCTTCCGGCGCCTCAGTCCCCACTCTAAGCACAGAATTAAAGGGACTGAAGACAGTAACACTGAAGGCAATTATGGTAACAACAAAACCCAAAACTAGCTCAGCTCCTGTTTAAATTGACTAAACCCAAGAGACATGCCCATTTCCAAGCATAAATACCTTTTGGCCTGAGCCTACTATTTTACATGTGAGATCCAGCATTCAATCAAAAACTAAGATACACACACACACACACACACACACACACACACTCTCTCTCTCTCACACACACACACACGGCAATCAGACTGAGAGATGACCCAGATTTTCAAATTATCACACAGAGATTTAAAACAACTATGATTGGCCGGGCGCGGTGGCTCAAGCCTGAAATCCCAGCACTTTGGGAGGCTGAGACGGGCGGATCACGAGGTCAGGAGATCGAGACCATCCTGGCTAACCCGGTGAAACCCCGTCTCTACTAAAAAATACAAAAAACTAGCTGGGCGAGGTGGCGGGCGCCTGTAGTCCCAGCTACTCGGGAGGCTGAGGCAGAATGGCGTAAACCCGTGAGGCGGAGCTTGTAGTGAGCTGAGATCTGGCCACTGCACTCCAGCGTGGGCGACAGAGCAAGACTCCGTCTCAAAAAACAACAACAACAACAACAACAACAAAACCCACTATGATTAATATGTTAAAGTCTATAGTAGAAAAGGTGGAAAACATACATGAACAGATGGGAAATTTTAGCAGAAATAAGGAAGCTCATAAGAAAGAGGCAAACAAATGCTAGAAATTAAAAACATAAAAGATGCTGAAGTAGATAATGCCACTGAAAGCTCATTATTAGATTCAACACAACTAGGAAAAGAATTGGGGAATTGGACGACAGGTCAAAAGCATGTACCCAAAGTAAAACACAAACAGAAATAAAGAGAGAAAAAAACTAACAATGTATCCAAGAGATACAGGACACTATCCAACAATTTAACAAAAATATAATTGGAATCCCAGAAGGAGAAGAGAAAAAGAATGGGGCAGAAGAAATATTTTAAAAGATAATGGCCAAAAATTTCCCAGACTTAACCACTTCAGAAGCACAGATTAAGAAGCTCAGAGAAGCCCAAGCAGAAAACTTCCAAAATATCATCTAAACACAACATAAACTGCTAAAAAATAAACATAAAGATAAAATCTTAAAGGCAGACACAAAGAGGAATTCACAAAGAAAATATTTTAAAATGTTTTTAAATAAATGAAAACAAAATACAACATATCAAAATCCATGGGACACAGCTAAAATGGTGATTAGAGGGTAATTTATAACATTAAGTAACTACATTAGAAAAGAAATGTCTCAGATCAAAACCTGATTTAAGCTGTCACCTTAAGAAACCAGAAAAAGAATAAATCAACTTAAGTAAACAGAAGAAAATAAAGATATGAGAAGAAATGAAAAACAGAAAGACAATAGAAAAAAAAATTAATGAAACCAAAAGCTGGATCTTTCAATACAATTGATAAACCTCTATCCAGACTTATCAAAAAATAAAAATAAAAAAAGAAACATCACAAATGACTAATATAAGAACTGAAAGAGGGGCTATAACAGATTCTTAAAAGCATATCTCCATTAGTTTGTAACATTTATGCCAGGAAACTGACCAAGGAATTCCTTCAAAGATACAAACTACCAAAGCTAACTTAAGAAATAGATAACCAGAATAGTTCTATGATCTCTGAAAGAAACTAAATTCCTAGTTTAAAAATCTGACAGAACATTCCAGGCCCAGAGAGCTTTATTGATGAATTCTATCAAACACTGAAAAGAAGAAAAAAATGTCAATTCTATGCAAACTATTCCAGAAAAGAAAAAGAAGGGAACACTTCCCAGTTCATTTTATGAAGTCGGCGTGACCTCAATTCTAAAACTGGACAGAAGACATTATGAGAAAAATACAGACGAATTCCCTCATGAACACAGATACAAAAATACTCAACCAATTATTAGCACATCTGATCCAGGAAAAAGGGAAATTTCTCTTAAAGGCTTTAATTATGCTTTAATCCTGACCTGGGATGACCCCAAAGACAACAAATGGCATCTGATTCCAGTCTAAATGAAGAAATATTAGGGTTAAAAGTTATCTACAGACTCATGAACACTCACTCAAAGGGTGGTAAGTCTACTTTCTCGGTTTCTAATAAAGAAATACAAAGTTACTAGCCTATACTAAAAAAACTCAGCTCAATTCTTAGTTTCCAAGATTACGACCAAAGGTATAATCCCTAACCTGCTTTCTGAACATATGTAAGCAGTCTGGTTTAAATACTTACCTTCAACGTGGCTAGTTTCTGAGCACGGTTTCTTCTTTGACTCTGAGTTTCCGGTTTTCTCATCAACATCCAGGAGAGGAATATAGTCTGTTTTTCCAACAGTTTCTCCCACAACATCATCAAAGGCCTCTGCCTCTAGTGTGGCAATGAAGTCTCGCTTTATCTCTCCCTCAATGTCTGGAGAGGGCTCTGTTAATGCATCTGCAAGACTGAGGTCGGCCATTCTGCACTGCTGCAACTGCCTGGTGAAGAAGAAAAAGATGTTTCATGTAATGAGCACTGCAAAAGGAAAAACATTTCTAGAAACTCTTGTCAATTGTTTGAAACAAACAAAAGAATCAAAATCTAAGATTTTACAGCCAGAAGAGGCTCCCTTATTTGAAAGATGAGAAAATTAAAGCTAAGAAATGGACAGTCTTACCCAAGGTAACTCACATTTCTGGGGGTGGGGGGAGGTGGTGGTGGCAGGACAAAGCAATTGCAATTGTGTCCTTTCTATTTGTAAGAAAAGTGAGGTGCAAAAAAACCCACAATCAACATATCCAAAGCTATAGCCAGTAAGATTCAAATCAGGTCTTTACATAGTTACATTACTATCGGACAAATGAAATCAACTTTCTTGACCAAAGACTGTGAGTATGGGCCTTATCTTGGAGTAAGCACCTGCTTCTTCATGAATCACTTGTGGATAGCCCTGTCAACCAAACTACTTAGCTCTGCCAGCATAAAAAAAAACACACACACATTTCCCTCAATTAGCTAAGGGAAATGGTCCCTCTCTGCAGTCATGTATATTACCATTTTTACAGACTACCAGCTTCTTAATTACATAATCTGCAGTTAAAAAGTAATTCTACTGGCAGCCATAAAAAAGTCATGTCCTTTGTGGGAACATGGATGGCAAGCTGGAGGATATTATCTGCAGCAAACTAACGCAGGAACAGAAAACCAAATACCACATGTTCTTATTTATAAGTGGGAACTAAACGATGAGAACTTATGAATACAAAGGAGGAAACTGCAGACAGTGGGGTCTACTGGAGGGTGGAGGGTGGGAGGAGGGAAAGGAGCAGAAAAGATAACTACTGGGTACTGGACTTAATTGAAATAATCTGTACAACAAACCCTTGTGACATGTGTTTACCTACGCAACAAACCTTTACATGTACCCTTGAACCTAAAATAAAAGTTTAAAAAAAAAAAAGTAAATCTACTGTAAGTAAACCATAGATGAATAGCCTAGAAAATACAGAAATAATGTAGTAAAAAGAGCCAAAGGGGCTAGGTGCAGTGGCTCACACCTGTAATCCCAGCACTTTGGGAGGCCAAGGCAGGCGGATCACTTGAGACCAGGAATTCAGTATCAGGCTGGCCAACATGGTGAAACCCCATCTCTACTAAAAATACAAAAATTAGCAAGGCATGGTGGTGGACGCCTGTAATCCCAGCTACTTGTGAGGCTGAGGTAGGAGAATCGCTTGAACCCGGGAGGCGGAGGTTGCAGTGAGCCGAGGTTGCGCCACTGAACTCCAGCATGGGCGATAGAGTGAGACTCTGACACCCCCACCAAAAAAAATTAAAAAAAAAAAAAAGAAGAGCCAAAGACCTGCAATAAATTAGCACCATTCAAATGCAGGGCATAATAGGAAATAAAGTGTGCAAGGTACTACGCCTGCTTTCAAAGAGTCTAACAGAAACTCCAAGAGACTCCATAGGATAAGTTGACATACAAGCTATGGTGTTGACAAGGTAAATACAAGTCAAACAGATCCTTAATTGCATAGTGTAATGGCTACTACTTGTGTTTGTCCAGAAATCTATTCTTCTATCTCCCCTAATACAAACCAATCCCTACCCCTATAGCGTTTGGGACATGACTAGAGTTGGGTCAATCAGAAGTCAAGAAGCAGACAGTTGGAAAGGACCACTTATTGACTACACACTGGAAGAAACGTCCATGACAGCTATTTGGTTGCCCTCGTTGACTACTTCAAGTCTAAGTGAACAGCTTTCATCTTTCTTTTGCCTAATTTAGTCAATCTATTTCTGTTGTTTACAATGGAAGAATCTCAACTAATACACAGTCTTTCTCCAACCCAAACTTGAAAAAGTCAAAATAGGCCGGGCGCGGTGGCTCAAACCTGTAATCCCAGCACTTTGGGAGGCCGAGACGGGCGGATCATGAGATCAGGAGATCAAGACCATCCTGGCTAACATGGTGAAACCTCGTCTCTACTAAAAAATACAAAAAACTAGCCGGGCGAGGTGGCGGGCACCTCTAGTCCCAGCTACTTGGGAGGCTGAGGCAGGAGAATGGCGTAAACCCAGGAGGCGGAGCTTGCAGTGAGCTGAGATC